GAATATCTTCTGTCGACAGAATCACCCTCTCTGTGTGTAACTAATTCTGAGGCTCTGTTGCCTGTCCCTGAGGCTCTGTCGCCTGTCCTTTCTGCTTCCTTGAGTACTGCTGATGGGTAGTGGCCTGCTCCACTCCCTGTGTTGGGTTAGGGGAAGGTATTTGGGTCCCAACAATGAATCTCCTCCTTGATACTGGGCAAGTCCAATAATGCTTTTCCGTCCTAAAAAGGAGTTAACACCAGGGTCCCTTCAGGTCACAATCTTTTCTTAATTCCATCTGCAACCCGACTCCAATTTGTAATTTTCTTATTCAACAAACAGAACAAACCTTTTGCCCCAATTCCAAAAGCTTTTCAACCCTCTCACCATGGCCTTATGCATGTGTGAACTACAAAACATCGAGGTAGTAGCTTCCTCTTGGTTCTTCTGCTTAGCCACACTGTCAACCTCCATTTCCTTGATGGTAGTTCTTCACTGGCCTCAAGAACTGGGTTAGTTGTCATGCTATCTTCGTTTCTCAACTAGAACCTCTGTAACGTTTCAGAGACCACAGTCCAACCCTTCCTTTGTTTATCCATCAGGGGGCAAATCATTTGTTTTCTTCATTTCCCAAACCATGCAGTCAACATAATAAACCAGCCTTTGAGGTTGTTTATCATTTCTACTGTAGAAGTCTTCAATTCCTCTGCAGAAAATTCCTCCAGTTTTGCATCTTCACCAATTTGATCGCCACGTCTAGAAAACACTTAAATCAGGTTATTGCTTCTCTCAGAAGATAAACAGTCACTCTCTTTTCTTCCCTTATCTTTAATGTTTCTTGTCTCCTAATCTTCACCTCTTTGAACAGGAATTTCTTCACATCCACTCTGATTTCCTTCTGACATCTTCCTGCAGGTTAAAAGTTTCCTTCTGTCATCTTCCCCCCAAATACCATATTCATGCAATATCCCTTGGAAACGTTTTGCCTGTACTGGACCTGTGTGCAACAAGTTGCAAAGTTTATCAACAGTATCTACCTCAAATTCTAGTTTCTGTGTATCTTCCTTGTCTGCAATCAGAAATGCCAAAGCAAATGAGCTTCGTCACCAATCTGACCAGGCTCTTCAAGAAGTTCTGGGGTTGTCTTTAGTTTATAACAGTTATTTCATTTATTGGTTGAATACTAATTTAGTAAATTTCTGTTACTATTTATCAATTTGCTTTTTCTTGTTGATCTTCCTTTCTTCATTGCTAAATCATATGCAAACTTGTGGAAGTTAGAGTTAAGTTTTTTGTTCTTTTTGTTTCTGTTTCATGACCCTGTAACTTGAAAGTAATTTTAATAAGTTACTGATTGGCAATTTCTTTTGAGAAATAGGGCTGAAAAATTCAATGGCCTACTGCAGAGGATTCAGTTTCTTGAATCTCATAAATCGGTGTCCCCAAATATAAAATCCTCAAGTCAGATTTTGGTAAGGCTCTCTGCAAACATAAAGAGGGGTCTGGATTTGGAATATCAATTGAACAAGCGCCAGCTTTTTGGAGTGATGATTGATATTGGATCATGTAGCTCAGCATCTAGTTACAATTTTGGAGCTGGTCGGGCTGCCTGTTGGGTTCCTTTTGATATATACGTGGAGACTGCAATGGATGGGAGACAGCTCCCTGCAACATCGGCTGTTGATGTACTTACAGGTCCCTCCCCTCCCCCCAAGAATTCTCTTTTGGTCCTACTACGTTTCATGTCCATCATGTTCCTATTATCTTGTTTGTTGTTATCTTGATTAAAGAAATGAAGGATTTTTAACAGCTTATATTCTTTTCTTTCATTTTCCTTTTTAATAATATTGATAATCTAAATGCAGACTTAACCAAAACACTCCAAGTAATTAACCGGGCAAGCTGGCAAGAGACCTTCCAAGCACTCTGGGTTTCAGCCCTTCGGCTTGTTCAGCGAGTTGAGAAACCCACGCCTCTTATGTAAAATTCCTTCTTGAAAAGGAAATGTTATGATATTTACGATCTCGAATATTCTTTATTGCAGGAGCGTGATCCTCTGGAAGGGCCTATTCCACATCTTGATGCACGTTTCTGTGTTCTTTTGTGTGTTGTTCCCTTGGCTATTGTTCATGTTTTGGAGGATGAAAGGGAAGGTACTTCATCTGGGAATATGGGGACCAATTGTAATCATGGAATGGGTGGGACTGACTATGCTTCCAGAAGACAAGGATTGGTTGCATGCCTTAAGGTTCTTGGGCAGTTTTCTGGTCTGTTATCTCCTCCTTTATCAATTGCTAGTGCAGCTAATAGTGCTGCTTCAAAAGCAGCGAATTTTATTTCAAATTTCAGGAACGGGAATGATGGTTTTAGTGGAAGTGGCCATGGTGATAATTGTGTTAAAGCAGGTGACCTTGCTTAAATCACTAATTTTCTCTACTAGTCATTTCACTAACTCTTAATGCATTCTTTACCTAGTGAGTGCTGAGTGGTTTTATAGATTGCTTGTTTCTTTGTTTTGCTCACTGTCTGCTTTGTACATACAGATGGCTTCTTTATGTCAGTTGGGCCTAATATTTCCACTCTCTGGCAGGGGGAAACATGCTTCATCTCATAGTTGAAGCTTGCATTGCAAGAAAATTGATCGACACTTCAGCATACTTTTGGCCTGGTTATGTGTCTACATCATCAACCTCACTTTCAGATTCATCACCAGTTCAAGTATCTCCTTGGTCGGCCTTCATGGATGGAGCTAACCTAGCTGGTCCCCTAAGAAATGCCCTAATTGCAACCCCTGCTTCCAGGTATTTCAGTGGTTTAATTGCTAGTAGCAGTGGTGACTAAGGTATGTTATTATCTAAAACCAATTTCATCTGATTTAAGCTTAGCGGAGATCGAGAAGTTATATCATATTGCAATAAATGGGTCTGAGGAGGAAAGATCAGCTGCTGCAAAGATTCTATGTGGTGCATCTCTCAGCCGTGGTTGGAATATTCAGGTACCTCAAGCATTTAGCAATACTTCTAGCTGAACAAGGGTTGTGATATCTGATTCCAATTGAATATTAAGATCATTAGTTGACCTAGTGAGTTGTTTGATATGAAACTGTGTTTATTGAGGAATCCTCTTACATTTTTTTAAACTACTTTTTATTCATGATATGACTTTCTGAATATATGTTAACTAGAGATCCATTGCCAAGTCATGATCTTGACTACATTTTTTTTTATGGATAACTGAAATTTTATTGACCATGAAGAAAGAATTATAATAGTACAAAAAACTGCTTGTCAGCCCTATTCTTGGGTTCTTAGGACAGACTTGGTAGCTGATCCTTACATTTGATAGATATTACAACTGTCTCAAAATATTTCAGACTTATTGACCCCATTCTTAGCTAAAGTGTTACGTGCATAGCTCCAGCCTCAGTTCATGTCATTGTTGGCATAAGACCCAGTCAAACCATTAACTGATCTGGGCTATTATGGTGTTAATAGTGGGGAAGGAGAAGGTTATGTTTAAGTAAATAGTGGAGTCTATAAGGTGGTTTGTTATGAGTTATGTCAGTCTAAGAGTCAGTCTGAGAGTTGTAACAGTTGTTTCCAGTTGTTGTCAATCCATTGGCTGCCCTTGGCACCTAAGAGACATTGATGATCAAACCTCTAGCCAAGCTCTTTAGCTCCCTTATACCTTATCTATATTTGACATGGTTCTTTGGTTCTTTGGTTCTTCCATTTAGCCAACCCACTACTGTTTTAGAATCACCTTCACAATCAAATTAGTGAAGTTGGACACTCCTAGCTCTGAGTGCATACGAAGCAGTTTGCAATTCCACATTGATAGCATTCCCTTGACATATCAGTCCAGAAAACATGGCCAGAATAGATCCTCTTTCATCTCTGAACACCCTGTACCTGAAGGCCCGGGGTTGCTTGGGCTGCAGCCATAAAAATTGAGCTTGATAAGATTCCTCCCAGGTGGTAGCCACTGTACTGAACATTTTCTTCTTGAGGTGGAAGAGTAAGCCATCCACGACCCACCTCTCAAAATATCAGCCATGGAGCCTTCATTGTCTTCACCAAATGCACCACTTGAACAGAAATACTCTCAATGAGGTCCTCCGTAGTTCTCTTCTTGTCATTGGACACCTTATTATTCCTTTATCTCCATACTTCCAAAGGATAGCATCCCCTGTACATCTCCATAACGTCCTCTCTCTTTTCATTGGTAACATAATGAAAGAGGATCTAAATAGGCCTTCTAGATCTGCAGGGGGATTCCACTGACAACCAAAGAGGGAGAGAAACCATGCCCAAATACTAGTAAAAAAAAGACAGGATATTAGCTTATGGTAAGATACTTCTCCACTTGCATTGCTTAGAGAGCAAATGTGCAATGAAAGGCATCAATCAGGTCTTTTCTTTTGTGAATGTGTAAAGGTGTTGTATGGAGCAGGGCACTGGGTACCCAAGAAACATGTCCAAAATATGTGTATGACAAAAATGCAAATATTGATATGGATGAGTGAGAAAGCTAGGAAGCACAGGATCAGAAATTAATTCATTTGAAGTAACCTAGTAGTAGAGTAATCAAATGAAGGAAAACAGACTAGATAGTTTGATTATGTATAGAGAAGACTACCATCTACAACACCTGTAATAAGTGAAATGGTCTATTACAAGTTGAAGGGACTAGAAGGGCCTAGGGGCAGGCCAAAAAGGACATGGGTTGAAGTGGTAAGAAATGATTTAGGGGGCTCATAATGTAACAATGAAAATGGTATTGAACAAAATGAAATGGTGAAATATGATTAGTGTAGCCGACCCCATATAGTAGGGGCAAGGCTTACATGATGATGATACCACTTTTTCTGTATTCACATATCATTATAAGAATGGTTTTCTACATATAGCAAACTTTTTAATAAAATCTTTTGTGCCTAGTTTTAGAATTACAAATTGTTAGCTAGTTACCAACTAGGTTTTAAATGTTTGGATTCCATCTGTTTCAGTTTTAGTTTGTGTTGGATTTTTTCAAAATTTCAGAATTTTGGGCAACTTTTTTAGTTAAATTTTAAATATTTTAATATTTTTAGTATTTTACAATCACAACTTCATTTAGCCACTTGGAATGTAGAAAACTAACAAGAAAGACTATGGAATTAGTAGATATTATGAAAAAGAGAAGGATAAATATTGCATCATGGTTTTAAAAAATGACTCGGAAACGGAACCATTTTGGCCACCGGTTTCTGGGTTGACGGTCCAACCGTCCGATTCGAATGGATGACCCGTTTTGACAGAAAACAAAAAAATAATTAAAAATAAAAAAAAACGGCCAAAAACCGTTGAACGAGTTGACAGGTCGACAGTTCGACCACCCGGGTCAATGGGTCATTGACTTTTTCAATGGTTTTTTGCCAGGGACCGGGTTTGGGGTAAACGGAACCGGTTGCTTGGACGGTTCCCGGGCTGAACGGTCCGATCGTCCGGGTCAACGACGATTCGAAAACTATGTATTGCATGCTTATAAGAAACTAAATGAAAGGTAAAAATGATAAGGAAATTGATGGCTATATATATATATTAAAACAAAGCGGTCAGGAAATTTTCTCCTTTTTTTTGATTTTTTTTAATTTCATGAACAACCAATGAGATGCACTTTCCCAATAACCTAAATAATCTCTTCTCCTAAAATTACTCCTAAACTACCTCCCCCACTATCCCCCACTTTCTCCAAAATTATCTCTAATTTCTATTTATCCTCTCCCATACTTTTTATTTATATCTATATAAAGAAAGTTTGGATTAAAAAATTTAAGAATTATTTAAATATTCTAACAAAATTTTATAATAACTTTAAAATATTTATTAAAAACACAAAAAAATAATTTTATATTTTTACACAATATATCACGAAATTATGTACTAACAATTTAAATTATGTTTTTCCAGGTTATCAATTTAAATGTTTTTAAATATTTAATAATATGTAATAGCTTTAAATAAATAAAATTCAAATAACAAAAAATTTTAAATATTTTATAGATTACTTAAATATTTAAATAACTAAATATTTATCATAACTAGATTTTAAATAGTTAAAATAACAAAATTATATAATAAATTTAAAAAATTTATTCAAAGTAGAAAAATAATTATAACATAATATTGAAATTAATAATAATTTAATATATTACAAAATTAATAATAAAATTATGTAATAATAGTATAAATTATGATTTTGTGGATAATTAAATTCAATAAATAATTAATATTCTAAAATTTAAATATTATACATATTATTTACGTATTTAAATAATTAAATATTTTAAATAACAAAATATTTAACATAACTAGTTTTTAAATAGTTAAAATAAAGAAATTAAGTAATAAATTTAACAAAATTCTAAAAAGTAGAAAAATAATTATAACATAATATTGAAATTAATAATAATTTAATAT